ATAATACTAAAATTTTGTCAAAATAATTGTCGCAATATGGTGCAAGTGCCTTGCAAGGAATGCATCTTCATTTGACGGTTGAAATTATAGAACAATTGACTGTAAATTATGTAAGTAGACTATATTACACAACAAAGGTCAATATTAATAGTTATCTTCTGTCCAACTCTTGATTGATTGATCTTTTAAACAATTATTCTGCTTTCAAAAATATACAAGTTTTAAGTAGTACGTAGTAGTAGTCTGATATGTGATTAAAAACATTTCGCAACCATTTTGTTTTATATAATAAAGACAATAACAAAGATAAGTTTAGGGTCAGTTGGGGGCACAGGATTTTCTGACATTTTAATGCGGCTTTGTGCATTTGACAAAAACAAGGATAGACAAATGCGAAATGAAAAGGAATTGGCCAATATTTTGTCTTTAATGGCCATTTTGCGATAAACAATAAACAAAACGGTTTACGTTTCAATTAAAATGCGAAAACAAGGCGAGGCTGATGAAACAAAATAAAATAGTCATACAGTCCGAGGAACTATTGTGATATTTCTTTCAGATGTAAATTTTTCATGGACAAGATTAGAAATTTTTTTTTTTTTCTGCTTTTTCACCTAGAAATTATTTATCGGACAGCCTTGTGTTAAGATATAATTTCAACGATGGTAATTATTGCACCACTTTATTCCATTTCCAAACTAATTTTTTGCCTTTTCATTGATTCAAAAAAAAAAAAAACTTAATAATCAAATGACGTTTTTTTTTGGGCTGTGGAACAAAACAAGATAGCAAGTCATTCTGTGACGAATTTGTGATAAAAAGAGGACAAGAAAACGCCCCCTGGTATTCGAACGTAATTAAAAAGTGGAAAAATTTATCAGAAAAAAGCTGAGATAATTATTTCGTGGAAGATTTCTTGCAAAACTCCTTTCTGCTCACGTATCACGGTGAGCTAAGCCGCTGATTTCCAAAGAATTGCCACGCCCTTCCTAGATAGATGGACAAAAAGACAAAGAAACTTGTCTGCTTCGTATAATAGCTCCAATTGTAAGATAAAAGTCCCTCGCGTAGAAATGCCAAATCTATTTTAAAAAAACCGATATTTAGAATTTATCCAAGAATTGTTAATTAATTAAATTAACACGGTTTTATTATTTTAGCTGGAAAGTCTATGTGTTGCCCAGAGTGTCTTAAAAGCTAAAAGAGCTTGAGATTATTTCTTCTCACACAATTTTATCTAGTCCAGGCTAAATTATTCACTATTTTAAATATATAAACCAAAACATTTGTCCTGATTGGATTTTGCTGTATAAACAAACAAAAGATTTGTCTAAACTGTTGCATATGACAGCACTTGCCAATTACATTTACCTTATAAGAACAAGGCATTGCAAGTATATAAAGAACACTGTTTAAAATTTTAGATGGAACGACCACTTTTTTACTCACAAACAATCGGGATCTCGATGAAAAAACAAATTCAATTGTTATTTGCCAAGCTTTTGTCCTATTTTAATGTCATCAGGGCAAAATATCTTTCATTCAATAGAAGTCCTTGGCAATGTTGGGACTGTCGGTCTTCAAACAAGCCATCTATTAAAAACTTAATTATGCCAATTTATAAATCTTTAAATTGTTTTGCCCTGATGATGACCCTAAAATATGTTGAAAGTTTGTTAGATAACAATGGAATTTGTTTTTTCATCGAAACCATACCAAGATCCAGATTATTCCTACCATGCAAAAAATGAGAGAACAAAGGAAAACTAAAATTAATCAAAACACCAAGGTCCAGGCAAAAAGAAACCCATGTTATTAAGAGTATAAAAAGGTATTGACTGTTGAACCAAAGATTTTGTAATTTTCAAAAGATATAGTTAAATTTAGTTAATTATAGCAATAAAGATAAAAACCAGCTTTGTTCTTTTATTTTTTAATATATTACTGAGATATGTTATCATGATTTAATAGCTTACTAAAGCACTAGGATAAGTAAAATGGATTTTGAAAAAGTAAAAGTTCAAGGATTTTGATTCCGCAGACTTAAGTTGACACAACAGACCTTTCCTTGTCTCCGACGACCCCACTTACAAAAATATGCCATCAATCCATAAACAGTATAAAGGATTAAAATTGCATTTGAATACTTAATACTAAAAGTGTTTTTGCTATTAATCCGGAGATCTATTCTTTTCAAGGTTGGGTTCCTTCCTTATTGGCAGAACCTTAAGGTTGGGGCTTCAGTGGCGAAATTTCTCTTTCTTCCATTGTCTGGTCCCCCAGGGAAAACATTCAGTGCCACTTTTATTCCTCGTATTTTTTAACGATGTCACCAAGCATTTTTGCCACCCCTTCTCTCCCCATGGAGATGATCTCAAGCTCTATTCACCAGTGTCCAACCTGGCTGATTGTTGAGAACTGCAGCATGACATTGACATTTTTTCCAACTGGAGTTCTAAAAAAGAACACAAACAGGAAAATGCAAGCATAAAATTTAGTAAATCTAATAAAATAGAAAACTGACTTTTGCTACCATCTTTATGGCATCCTTATTGAGCAAGTGCGTTTTTACTTATCTCGTAGCATTTCTGATCTTGGTATAATTTTTAGTGTTCCTTCAGAAATCGTGTCTTCAATATTAGAAATAAGTCATTGAAGAACTTAGGCTTTATCTCATTTTTGAAAAGTAATTTGTTAAAACAAAACAGAATAGAAATAACACAAAAGCGAACTGCACTTTTCAGACAATTTGAAATTTTTGTGTTATTTCTATTCTTTTTTGTTCTAATGAAGGCTGATGATGCTCACAAGGTGAGTGAAGGGGTCTTCCATTAATAAAGAAAATCTGCTGGAGTTTTTTGAATTTACTTAAACAATAATATATATTCTTAATGATTTGATTGCTTATATTTAGTATGTAATGAGTAGGGCTGTGAAATATATGCATTTGCATATTTTTCCTGGTTAACTAAAATATCCAGTTTTAACAAACTGTATATGTTTTGAAGCATTTGAAATCAATTTAAGCTATATTTATTTTGAATATTTGCGCATATATTGCCATAAATGCATATTTTTGCATAAGTGGGTTATAACTGCATATTGTTTTTGCATATCCGGCATATCGGTATTTGGCACGTCAAATTTTAATGTTTCAGAGCAGGCAAAAAGAAAAATTCTCCAAAAAAGAGCTACGGTCTCCCATTTTTCCGTTTCCACATAATGAACGAATTTGTGTTTGTTCAGTTGCTGCTCCACCGCTTTCGGCCGCCTTAGCTTCTCTTGGTATAAATAAAGAAAGGAATAGTGTTTGTACCACTGTAAAAGTTCTCTTGGAATAGTATAATTGGATTCATAGAAATATTACGACCTCAGTTCTCTTCTTTCCCTACCATCATAATTCTCAGTTTTACCAAGTCTCTCATGCATTTTCCATCGTGAAACATTATTTGTGTGTTGTATGGTATGGTATGGTAAATTGGATAGGAAGCGGGGTTTGTGCTACCCAGGGACTGCAGCCTTTTGGCTTATTGTACCTTCCTAGTTGCTTAGTTCAGTGCGATAGACTCAATCCTTCTCCTTGAAGTATCAGGTCATTGACTGTCGCTGCTGTAATTTGACTCCCTAAGTTTTTTCCATATGTTAGGCTAAATCTCCATTGAGCTGTTGCTTCACATTCGAAGATGATATGGGTGGCTGTTTCCTCCTCCTCATTACATAATCTGCAGATGGGATCATCATTGTATATGACCATGTTGTGTAGATGTTTTCTCAGATGCCAATGACTGGTTAGTAGTCCTACACTCCTCTGAGTATGGTCCACATTTGTGGGTTGTGAACTGAAGACTCCTAAAATGCCGAAAATCACAGCAAAGACGAAAGATCTTGTTCAAAAGAATTTGAGTGAGTTTTCAAGTGAAATTTTTAAAGGACTATGCAGATGTTTTATACTGTGTTTGTTGTGATAAACCTGTATCAACAACTACACGTTGCTTGGTAGGACAGCACATAAAGACAGCAAAAAACAAGGAAAACAAAGGTAGGAAGTCTAAGTTTCAACAAACCTTTGTGACACAAGCAGCCACAAGAGCTGACCGAAAAGTCTGGTTTCGACACCGATTTATGTCGTTCTTTAGTTAGAGCTGACATACCCGTCCATAAACTAAGCCACCCTGAATGCAAGGTTTTTTTGAGAAATACACAGGGAAAACCGTTCCCCACGAAAGTACCCTCAGTAAATCTCACCTGGATCTTATATACAATGAAACACCCCATAAAATCAGAGACTTCATCGAGAATGGACCGATCTGGGTCTCGATGGCTGAGACGAAGGATTTTTTAAATTTAACTTTTTTTAATGCGTTTTTCTTTTTTAATATTAGCAATGTGATGTTCCTCTTGCCACTGTTTCTCTTTCCAATTATGTGCTTTAATTTAATGTTTCCTTATTTTTTTCTCATGGCAGTTTTCGCATATTTTCAGTATTAAATCGCAGTTTTTACCAAATATATTTACATATATATGTGCATATTTGTCTGTTTTTATTGCATATAAATCACAGCCCTAGTAATGAGTAATAGCTCAAAATTCTATTTTAATGTTTACCTTTATTTGTGATTTTAATGATTATTTAGTAATAATTTTCTCTAGATTGTGTCTTTTTGGAATATAGGTCTGTTGAAAGTGTTTTTTAAATAATAATATTATAAAAAGTACAATTGTTTATGAGGCAAACTGAACATTGAGAAATCTACTACAGTTTCCAGTCCTTGGACCATAAAATCAAGCTTTTAGGTACAGTGCTCATCACTGTAATGCCGTACATACTTACAAATGGGCTTTTTTCCAAAAACATCAGCACCCCGGGGGTACATACAATGCACAGTTGAAACACCCCTGTTTAATGATAAATAAATAAACATATAAAAAATAATATAAAATAAAATCAAGCTAACCTAAAATATGTTGCAGGTAGTAGGATAACAGGAAAAAGACAAACATATTACTAAAATGAATTTTTTATTCATCCTTACCACATTGGTCACCTGCTTTTGACAAGTTTCTACAATGTAGATATCAAGGAACTATGGATTTTATAATAATCTTGTCATTCATTACATATTGGACGTTTTCACTTTACTCACGTACGAGTACATTTACATTGCACATACTGGATCATAATACTTGTCTAAAATTAGATAGAATCCTATAGCTATACATCATACACTTAAATAAATAATTTTAGTTAAATATTACACTTTCTTTGTCATTAATCCTGTTTAGCGAAACCAAGTGGGCTTACAATATTATTGTCTTGGAAAATGTTCTGTAAATAAATAATTACATAGAAAATTTCTTTAGTTTAAAGTTATTTAAAATATTTGTTTGATTAGATTTCAGTTTTCTTATGTGAGGACTATTACTTAGTATTACTACTGCTTGAAAGCGATAGGACTTGGCCTTCCATGGGTAGCGAAATAACGATAGGGACGATGGGTTCTTCTACTTTCATTTTGTACACATTGGGACTCTCTGTTAATAATGTATTGCCGCTTATTGTCGAATTTGTCGATAAAATATTCGCAACGCTTTTGGTATGGATATTTTTATGGTGCGCTAAACCACTCCTCTGTGCGAATTTTTTACCGCAGTAATTGCAAGCAAAGTTTTTGACTAGGGAATGCGTCGATTTATGGTGTATCAACCCACTCCCTTGGGCGAAGTGTTTGCCGCAGATGTCACAGACAAATGCCTTGACTTCGGAATGGGTCTGTTTGTGATGCGTAAGGCCACTCCGCTGGCGAAACGACTTGCCGCAGATGTTGCACTGGAAAGCTTTCACTTCCGAGTGCATCGGCAGGTGATGTGTCAGCCCGCTTCTCTGTGAAAACGACTTTCCGCATATTTCGCAGACGAAAGAGCCGCTGTGTCTTTCCTTCATGTGCTGCTGTCTCGACTGCCGGCTGGTGAACGTTTCACCGCATTTGTGGCATTTCTGTTTTTTCCAAATGTCTGCATTTTCGAATATCTGCGTCTCTGGATAAAGGGCATCTAGCACTTCAAACTCTTCCTGAAATTTTGAAACAAATTTAATAATTAGATAATATCACCCAATGCTTTTTAAAACCACAAGCTTCAGCTTTTAGCAAACCAATCATGTATGCAAATCATACATGTTCAAAAATATATATATATATATACAGGGTGAATTGCTACTCGTGCTACAAACTTCTCCAGTAGATTCTTCACCCTAAAATGAACAAAAAAGTTCATATTGTCCATGGTCCGATTCTCAACCATTTCAGAGTAATTTCGCTTTTTATCGATTTTGAAAGATATCACGTCCTGGCGTCGGAAAATCGTGATATCTTTTAATCTAAACATTTCTCTGAAAATCTAATAGCACCGTTGAAATTCCCGTTAATTTTTCAATAAGAAGATGACGGTGGCAAAATGTTTGGGCTAATTTTTTGTGTTTTATTTCAGCCAGAACTACAAAAAGAGTGGAAAATTGTGTAAATCGGAAAGTGTATAAAGTAATCCAGAGTTTCTAATTTTAGTCTCAGAAGGCAGCAAATTTGAGGAAAACTACCTGATTTAATAACGCTTCCAACGCACTCGTCATTTTCTTATTTAGTGGTTGTGAGACCAAGATGTTGATGACAAAAAGAGAAAAAATGGTGGTTCAAGGATTGCTAATGTTTGAGAGTGACTTGCTACTCGTGCTACAAACTTCACCAGTAGATTCTTGACCCTAAAATGAACAAAAAAGTTCATATTGACCATGGTCCGATTCTCAACCATTTCAGAGTAATTTCGCTTTTTATCGATTTTGAAAGATATCACGTCCTGGCGTCGGAAAATCGTGATATCTTTTAATCTAAACATTTCTCTTAAAATCTATAAGCACCGTTGAAATCCCCGTTAATTTTTCAATAAGAAGATGAAGGTGGCAAAACGTTTGGGTCTTTCTTCCTTGACCTTCTAGCTGTTTGTAAACTTCTTAAGCATTACATACTAAATGGGCATTAAATTAAATTAAAAAATTTCAATGGAATTATGATTTTGATTCTCTCTAAAAATTAACGGGGATTTCAACGGTGCTTATAGATTTTAAGAGAAATGTTTAGATTAAAAGATATCACGATTTTCCGACGCCAGGACGTGATATCTTTCAAAATCGATAAAAAGCGAAATTACTCTGAAATGGTTGAGAATCGGACCATGGACAATATGAACTTTTTTGTTCATTTTAGGGTGAAGAATCTACTGGAGAAGTTTGTAGCACGAGTAGCAATTCACCCTGTATATATAAATAAATAAATATGAAGCATTAAAAAAGTCGACAGACGCCAGCTAAATTTCGAAGCCTCTTAACATTTTCATACAACAGTTGAGCATAAATTTGTTCATGCAATATCATAATAATGAAGGTTTTTTTTTTAATCGAATGAATAATTAAATTAATAGTAGTACAACATTAAACAGTGAACTCAAGTTAAAATTATTTTTAAATAAATTTAATATCTCCACTTAAGTATTTTTATGCCAGGTCCTGGGATTATTTTGGACTATAAATTGTGTACTCATTTAAATTATAATATTTTAATTAAATATACTAACATAATCCTTTTTTCATGTAACTAGTTAAATGAAAAACTTTTAGTCTCATTTTACTAATCTTTGCAAAACTGCATTTTCTTTATCTCTCAATTAATTATTTTCGCTTAGGTCACCACTGAATGACATGATCCTATCACAATTTATTGGCTAATTCTAGGGTACACTTAGTAAGTATTATTTAACTGTAAATATGTTACTTGCATAACATCATATTAATTTTAACCAGCTTACCATTGTATTTGCATTAGTCGGGGCGTACACACATGCCATTAAGAGCTATTTATCCTACCATTAGTTTACATAGTTTATTAGTTAAACGATGATGAGTTACTGTCCAAAAATAATAGTGTAAACCATTGTATGACCATAAAACACTTTCAACAAGTTATTTTAGCATAACATAACCGAATATTTTTAAATCTTGTAGGAAAAAAGGAACAACTATTTTTCTGTGGTCTTGTAAATTGTAATAGCAATAAAATAATTAATTATGTATAAAATAAAGTTAATTGTCATTGACTGGAAAAATATTTGTTCCTACAAGATTTGAAGTGACACCAATCCAAAAACCGGTAAAAAAAGAAAACATGAATTTAATATAGTTGATATTGACGGTATCGTACCACTTGAAAAAAAAAATTACTTGAAAATATTCATGTTTTAAAACTGGCGAAATACTATGAGCACAATTTCAGCTGTCTAATGAACACACAATAAATTTAATAGCTCAAAACAGTATTAATGTATAAATGCTAGGTACAATATGAGAAACTAAGTTTATGAAGTTTTAAAATAAGACTTAAATAAGTTTGAATTAGAATTTTATTGATGGATCATTGATTGTTAATTATCTATGTATGAAAACTAAGCTGGTCTTTTTTTTTCATGGGACAACCCTTTATAAATGAATGTAAAATTGTTTGTTGGATTTTGGATTTAAATTTATATAGGCTCAAATCTGCACATGTACATACCAACATACAAATATGTGTCGAGTTGAGCCTAAACACTTCTTGTCTCACCAGCAATTCTAGCTTTTGCTATTTGCAATAAATTATCGGTCGGCCTTGAGAATCGGGTGTTGGCAGTCCTGGACTTATCCGTCCAACCCCGAGGTTGAGCTCCGGGTGCTCCTAGGTCAACAGATAGGTCAATTCAGCACCCAACGCATGCATTTCCAAACCCATTCGTACACACGTTCATTCTTAAATACATTCACACCTATTTACATACCAAACTTTCAATTAGGGTGATGGAGTACTCGATATTCTTCCATCACGCTTTACATTCACACTAATAAATACATTTACTTCCAACATACATATTATACTTTATACTATATAGTATTATATACATTACTATATACACTAGAACAACCCCATTTCCTTAAAAAACCGAACAAGGGACCCAGATACTTGCTGCCAGGCTCAAGCGCAATTCTAAAATTGGGTGGCATTCCTGTGTGGTCTCTATATGGAGTCAGGGAATTGCATTCGTCAACTAGGTGGTCATCGAGTAATCTTTTTCTGCATACTGTTCACATACATAGGCTTTGGCCCAAAACTAAGAGTCTGTGTAAAATTGTTTCTAATTAAATGAGTAAATGGTGTAATAATCGGTTCAAAACTGTGTTAAATGTTTAAATATCGGGTAAAATATGAGGGATTAAGTTTATGAAGTTTTTAATCAAGAAAAAATATATTAGAATTTAATCAATGGATCATTGCATGAAAACTAAGCTTGAACAACTATAGCACTATTTACATTGTGACACATCTGATAAACATCTGAAGTGAATCATCCTTGATTACAAATTTTCATCCAGTTATTTATTTTCACTGCTCAGTGTTCCTTATTTTGCGTCTGTGTTCCCTTTTCAATTGGTATTCCACAAGCACTCGTACTACTGGTATGTTTGAAGAAACATATCTGTCTTGCCACTTAAATGTCATTATAATAAAATAAAAATAGGATGTGAAAACTTTATAATAAAAAGGAATGTACTCACTAGAAAACTCCTACTAGTATACAGACCGCTCCAAAACCGACAAGGGTATGCGAGCTGGGGTCTTCGGGTTGAACTCCAAGAACGAACTGATGGTAAACCTAGGTAAATATGGTTCAGTTTTCCAGTCTGAAAACATAGCGATTGAACAATGCACCAGAGAAATAAAAAGGCTAGGAATACATTCCCGGAAGGCAGCCATTTTCTCTGACAGCCAGGCAGCACTCAGGGCCCTACCCTCAGGCGAGGCGAAGGCAAAGAGTGTTTGGAACACCATAGAGGCCCTGAAGGAAGTTTGGGGCATAAAGGCAATGAAAACGTTGTCACATTGGCCATAGACTCTCTGAGTCCTGAATCCTACTGTGGCTTAGCATTCTGCCACAAAAGAGGTTACATCTTAAAATGGATCCTTAATGAGTCCAAAACCTGGTCGAACAATACCACAGGTATGAGGCACGTGAAGAGATTCATAGAAGGACCATCCGCAAAACTTACAAAAGAATTACTGGAAGGCAACCGCAGCCGAAACAGGATTCTGGTTGGACTCCAGACAGGGCACTGCCACTTAAGAAAGCACATGCACTGGATAGGAGTGCAGACAGAAGAAACACTGTGCAGATATTGCCAGGAAGAGGAGACCGCAGAACACATTTTATGTTTCTGTGAAGGTCTATGTAGGTGCAGGTTCTTGCTGCTAGGACAAGAAAAACCACAAGCAAGAGCCTACACCAAGGAGCCGCTGGCAAAGCTGTGGAGGCTGGTTAATAGCCTGAACTGGCCAGTGAGTTATAAATAACATGGGCGCAGAATAGATTAATTCAGGTCGAGGTGCAGTAGGCATTGTGGCCGCTTCTCTTACCCCTATCCCTATCCCCTCTCACTAGAAGTCGTGGTTCAACTAGTGAAAAGGTGAAATAAAGAACAGTGAATGCGAGGGGGAACGTTTGTTTACATTTTTCACTGCGCCTTGCGCCTTCACTCTGGATGAAAAGTCAGTTGGAGGAACAACTCTTTCATCAAAACTTAGTTGGGGGTCCTTCTTGATCGTTCACTCTGGAGGAATTGAAGATGAATGGCAGTTTACATTTGTCACTTTAGATGATTCATCCAAGATGTTCTTCCAAAGTGACAAATGTAAACGAGCTTTAACACATGAATAACACATGAAAGTGTAAAGTTTTTTTGTGAGGAAATAGTAAAACTGTTAAATGTCTAAATGTTGATCTAATTGTATGTTATGAAGGACTTAAATAAATATGTATTAGAAATTTATTGACTGGCCATTGCGTGTCAACAATTACACGGATGAAAAGTTCAAAGGTCTTGACTTCTTGGTTCTTTTCCAAAGCATTTACTGAATGAAAAGTTGTGTGTGAGAATAGATAAAAATTATAAATTGTTTAATGTTAATATGTCAAATCTTCGATGCTTGTCTATGGAGGAATTAATGTAACATTACAAGTCGAAAGTTGGCTTTTTCTGTGTAAAATCAGCATTGAAATACTCACTTTATTTTCCATCTCGGCTCAGAGGAGTGTCAACGCCATTCCGCCTCCCATTAAACAGGCATACTTTTCAAAATGCCATTAGCCACCTCGACTAACGACACCCCCGACACGGCTCTAGCTTCTTTTCATCGTGTGAAAAAAAGTCCTTTTTTTCACCCAAGCCCCACGGGCACGAAGTCCGCTTTTTAAGTGGTCAACGATCCTTCGGACGAATCGACGACTGTTGACAGTTTGGGGAAGTTGATTTGAGTGTTGCTTGTTTACTTTGAAGCTTTCGACTTGGTTATCTGTGATATGCTATCCGTTTCTTTTCGACTTACACGTCATTCAAACTTGGATTTTTTGATTTCCACTCACAAGTTTTAGCTGTCGGCCCGGACCGGAAAATAATTTTCATGAGCTTACTCGAACTGGGAAACATCGGGACGAGATAACTGCATGTCATGGGTTTGGTCTCTCCTTAATAATCTTTTTGAGAAATACTGTGAGTTTTAAAAGTTTAACACTAACGCCGCGTCAATGGCGATAATAATGTGCAATCACTTAAAAATTTGTTTCTTTTAAAGGCTTGGCCGTTTGTTTCAGACTGAAAAACGATGTGTGGTCAGGGAAATAAAATTGTGGATATGAAGGCTTTGATTTTGGTTGGAGGATACGGTACGAGGCTACGCCCTCTCACTCTAAGCAGGCCGAAGCCTCTGGTGGAGTTCGCGAACAAACCGATGCTCCTGCATCAGATTGAGGCCCTGGTCGAAGTGGGTGTTAAAGAAGTGGTGCTGGCCGTTTCTTACAGAGCCGAGCAAATGGAGAAGGAGCTGAGCGTAGAGGCGCAAAAGCTCGGGGTGAAGCTTATCTTCTCCCACGAGACGGAGCCGCTGGGTACGGCAGGGCCGCTTGCTCTCGCCAAGGACATACTCACCCAAAACCAGAATCCTTTCTTCGTCCTCAACTCCGACATCATATGTGAGTTCCCATTCAAAGACTTGATCGAGTTTCATAAAAATCATGGCAAGGAGGGTACGATTGTCGTGACCAAGGTCGACGAGCCGTCCAAGTACGGCGTCGTCCTATATGACGAAAAGGGCCGGATCGAAAGTTTTATCGAAAAGCCACAGGAGTTCGTCTCGAATAAGATCAACGCGGGGATGTACATTTTGAACCCGTCCGTACTCAACAGGATACAGCTGAGACCGATGAGCATAGAAAAAGAAGTCTTTCCATTCATGGCTCAAGATGGAGAACTGTACGCAATGGACCTCCAAGGTTTTTGGATGGACGTCGGACAACCAAAAGATTTTCTCACCGGTCAGTATTTATAAAACCACCTGTTTCACTTTTACTTTGGGGGAAAAAAAAAATGTTTTTTCTAATCCAAGCTACTGTGCAAAAAATGGAGGACAAGATTGAATGAAGAAAAATGTACTCAGTTTATGTTCACATTGAGAAAACAGTTTTGCCCTACATTATTCATCAACAACAAAGAGATACCGACTTTCATTCAAGTCAAATACTTAGGTCTGTACCTAGATAGACTGATTTAGAATCCCCTTATAAGACTTAAGAGACAACTCACCAGAAGATTTGGACAACTACAAAGACTTCTAGGACCAAAATCTGACGACCGTCAAAACTAAAACTTATACAAAACTTTACTGTGACCACTTTGGACATATGGAGCGGAAATGTGGGGTTCGGTCAAACCATCCAACATCCAGCGCATCCAATCCTTCCAATCAAAAGTCCTCAGACAAATCATCAAAGTTTTTTATTACATTACTAATCTTGACGATCTCAGCATTCTTTTTGTCAACAAATTGTCAAACATTTGAAATGTATATTGAAATTATGATCCATCCTACTCATATTTACCAAGCCTAGCATTTCTGGGTTCTAATTCTGGCATAGACCTTGGAAATTTATTGGAGTTAAAAAAAAATATTCTTGTACATTTGTGCGTTTTGGGTTTTCATGTTACTCAAATATGGTTTGGCTTTATGCCATCATCAGGAGGAACTGTTTGAGACATTTTACAGTTCAGTCAAAATGTGTAAAGTAAATAGTAGTCCTTGTGGAAGGACTCAGAGACCCAGTGCTGGCTCAATGAGGGCTCACCGATACAGACCAACATCCACCATCAACTTTAATTCTTAATAAATCCATTATATTTAGTGGTCTGATTGACCAAATTACTTCTTTCAATTAATTAATCTTTTTACATAAAGTCTTGGTCGAAATGAAAAAGTCATGTCATGAGCGGGGAGTCATTCAAGTCTTGTCACTAACTTTTTCATTAATTAATTAATTGAAAGATTTAATTCTTATTTTGTTTCCATTAATTATTTATTCAATTTATTTATTTTTGCTTTGTTAAGTTTCTCCTTATTCCTTGTTCCTTTTGTATAAACCAAGCGATATAGAAAGTCCACAACGAATTAATTTTAGATGCTACAATGTGATAGATGTCAGTGTTTAAAATATTGCAGAGCAAACATTCTTACCTGTTTCTGGCTATTTTAACTTTACAAGATACCATAGTGATAATAATAACTTGTATAAAAACATTTACTTACCTTTTTTTTTAAGGTGTTTAAATTTTTTGTTGTTGTAAAACTAACTGCATAGAACAAAATAAATTTTTTGGACCATTACATGTTATTTAAGAATGTTTCCCCTACAAATAATGATGTTTGAACAATTGACAATCAAATGGTACCATTTTCAGGTATGTGCTTATACTTGGCTTCCTTAAGGCAGAAGTCCCCGTCGTTGCTGTACAACGGGCCGAACAGTGTTGGAAACGTTCTCGTCCACCCGACAGCGAAGATAGGCGAGGGTTGTCAGATTGGGCCGAATGTCACAATCGGACCAGGCGTCGTCATTGAAAACGGTGTTTGCATCAAGAGGAGCACCGTTCTCGAAAACGCCGTCATCAAGTCGCATTCTTGGCTCAGCGGTTGCATAGTCGGTTGGAAGAGCCTAGTCGGCCAGTGGGTCCGAATGGAAAACACGACCGTCCTCGGGGAGGACGTTATAATCAAAGACGAGCTTTACATCAACGGTGGGCAAGTGCTGCCGCATAAAAACATCGCTGATTCCGTTCGAGACCCTCAAATCATCATGTAACTAAAGGGATCATTTAAATTATACTTTTTGATTTGTTGATATGAGTTTTTAAAAATTTAATATTAAATAAATGAATTTATAAATGAAATAAAAGCACAAAACTTCAAGCCAATAAAACTGCCATTCCAACTATTCATGAAATTTTATAAATGAAATACAATCGAGTCACTTAAGATTACGATTGATATTTTTTTGAACTTAGCAAATTGTAATAAAAATTTTAACAGCTCTTTACACAATAAATGTATTTGGTATTTTATTTTAAGTTATTTGTACTATTTCAAAGTTTTATAGCACTGGCATATTGACTTTTATAATGAATTTATGTTGAATTTTATATTATAACCAATTTAATTAATTTATTTGAATGTTAACTTCTTTCTATTCCAATAGAAATATATTCGTTATGAAAAAAAATGTATGGAATTGCTGACTTTTGATTTTTTGTTTGTGATAAATGATATGTAAATGAAAATATATATTTAATATAACATGATTTGCAAATTTTCTTACTTGTTTGTTCTGTCTCGAAAAATTTAACCTTTCCAAGATGTAATTTCAAACTTGAAATACACAAGAAAATAAAATTTTCAGAACAATCACTGTACAATAAATTAATATTAAAAAAAAAATCTTTCCATTGATAAATATAAATTGAATACATACAAAAACAAATCTTGTGGTACATTAGTATTAGTTTTCAACTTAGAGAAGAAAAAGCTGAGGAGTAATAAACAAAAATAAAGATAAACAACTTTTATTATATAGTACCCTTCTTAAAATAAAATTTATGACAGACACACAAAATTGCAGCGATAACATTCCTTGACACAAATAAAAGAAATACTTCCTTATTCCTTATTGCTGTACAGGCAATTTAAGATAACATAAGTTAACATAATGAAAAAGTGACAGTTTTTTTTTTAATTTTGTAATAATTGGTACAATTAAAGGGTTTATTATTATTTTTAGTTGACATCGAACTTTAACATCAATTCCTAAGCAATCACACACAACTAAATGTGAAAACTTAATTGAATTTTTTCAGCCTAATCTAATCTAAAAATATTTTGCTATTACAATATAACTATTAAAATAAATATAAACTATACAAATTATATATTTTTTGTAAAATGTATACTCAAAAATTTGTTTTGACAAACATATATTTTTTTTAAATTCTTATAAAAAGCAGTTCATATCACCGACAATCACTTATTAAGCACTATCAGTACCTAATTGGCAAACCAAATGATACTTTCGCCCTAGGCAAGTAAGATAAAAGAAAATTTTATATAAAGTGTGTATGTGTTACAAACAAACAGTTGCTGACTTTAAATTTTCTTTGAAACTTACAATTGAACTGTGAATGCTAAATGTTTGAATAATGTAAATACTTATCTGAAATAATTTTGAAATAGTTTTAATGGGTTGCTGCAAAATGTCTGTTGCTTAGCCTTAGGCACCAATCATTGCTACCAAAAGGCTTTTGAATTCTCCACCACAATCGCTCTGAAGACAAGAAACAAGACAATTAAAATTTGAGGTAGATTTAAAAAAAAATTTAATACTTAATTATGCGATTATAGTGCATTTTTTGTTTATAATAAAAACTAAATACATTTATAGTTATAAGAAGTAAATTAACAGATGAGCTTTGTTTTACTGAAATATTATTTGGGTAGACTATTATTTACAACCCAATTCTGAAAAAGATTTTTTTAAAAATAAATCTTTTATATTATTTTTCACTATGTATTTATATAAAAAAAATGTTTACACCGTTCCAATATTTTCCATTGTAGGCTATTGTGCTTTCCAGTCAAGAAATGGTTATTGAAACCACATTTTAAAGAAAATTAGGAACTTTATTGAAAAGAAAAATTCAATTTGACAATAATACCACGGAAAAAATATTCAAGGGCCAGAGTAAATACAAAATATAAGCTACAAGCGCATGCAAGTGCATTTTTTATTATTTAACCAAGGCCAGCAAGAGATGTTTGTAGTCTCCTGATGTGTCTCCCTATAAAAAAAAGCAATAAAATAATTCAGTAACAAAAAGTAAAACAGCGAGAAGAAAAGATGGGTTTAGTGAGTTTTATTATTATTTTATTAATTTATCTTGTGCAATTTATGGATTTATCATTTTAATATTAACTGGTCTTATTTATGTCTTCTAATTTATTGACTGATTTATTAAAAAAATATAAATTGGGAATAATGTTGTAAACCCAAAAATGTAACTAAAAGAAAAATAATAAAAAAATCTCCATATAAATTTACTTAAGTTGTCTTGATTAAACAAACAGCTCTTTCGGACAATAATATAAAAATAACAATTATAAACATAAATATCATAAGCAAAAAAGTAAAGATGAATAGAATACTAGTTTTTTTATTTATTGAATGATTCTTAAATTCTTTGACACTTCTGGAGATCTTAGTCTATAAATATAATAATAAACATAAATGTTAATAAAACTAGGCTTTTTATTTATATTTGGTTTGTATAAAACTTTTCTTCCTACAATAAATAATTATAATTGTGCAAGTGTATTGCATAAAAGCCATTCATGAGTTTTAATTAGATCAGGATTATTATGTTGTTGAAGTAGGAAACAAGTTAATTTGACATATCTCAGAAATTATTTTTTGTGAGAAGACCAATAAAATATTTCCTAATGCAACTTGTCTCATGCATTCTATTCAAGCACTCTGAAATAACCATAACCACCATCACCAACATTGAAATTTATCAAATTTTAAAATTTTTCTTATTTAACTATACTCATCTTGTGTTTTTAAATTTGTTTCTTGGCCAACTGGCCCATTTATATTAAATTTAACATAAATAATTTGATAATCAGTTTTCTGGCTTTTTTCTTTTTCTAATCCTCATATTCTTTATGTGGTCAAATAGTCTGATGTATCACAATTTCCTCTTAATGAAAACAAAAGTTTCAAAAAAAGCTACTCTATTTTAATATTTCTATTCGTGTATTTTGAGGTAAAAATGTAAATGTGAAGAACCCATGATTTTTGGAACTGTGCTGATGACTTCGACCCCTGATACACTAATAAAATATGGTAACTAAAACCAATAAAAAAACCCTCTTAATTTAATAATTATGTACGATGTCTACAGTTGGCATGTGGCATATGAGTACAAATCCCGTCTAGTTCACTTGGTGGAGATAATTGAACATACAATGTCACGATGAAACGTTATCAAAAAAGGGAGTTGAACAAAGATACAATGCGTTAAGATAAAAAGGTCAGAGTGTTGGGGATCACGGTTGTCGTGGCTCAAGTGGTTAGAACGTTGGGTTCAAATCCCAAATGTAACTTACACTTTAAAATTTTTTTAAATTTTATTCCATGAATTCGCTGCTTTGTTTGTTTAAGATAAGAATGAAAACCTGAATAAATACACATTAATGAGTTTATTAAGCAAGAGAAAATTAATACTTATCTTTGTTATTGTGATTTTAATTGGAATTAGATTTTTAAGATTATCTAGAAACCATTTTTGCTTATGATTTGATGGTTCTAAGTATAAGATTAACATAGGAATTTTTGAATTTTCACAGAAAGCATTTGTAGTTTCAAATTTAAAATTTGATTTGAAAATAAAGCTCATACTCAAATATCTTTTATATGGAAATTTTTGAATTAAACTAAAAAACCTAAATAAAAAGTAACTTAAAAGTTTGAATTTCAACTGTTGTTTCCAATTTGTTTGATGAATTTGTGTTTCTAAACTGTGAAATCTAATGAAATTGTAAAAAGAAAATTTACAGGTTGCAACACAGATAAATTAAGGTACTTACGGCAATACGTTCTGCAAGGGGAGTTTCATAGAGTTTTTGGTATTCAGCCTTAATCTCACCCAGATCAATTTCAGAGCGTCCTACGACGATCCGGATCAAGGTTTTGTCTTTCGTTCCCATCCCTGCCATGCTGTCTTCAAGGCGCTCGGCAAAATACCTGCTCTTGTTCTTTACACATTTTACTACAAAAAAAAAAAAAAAAAAATCAGTTTTATTTATTTGGCTAATAATTAATTTGTCTAAAATCTGTACCGATAGAGAGAAAACCGTCTTCCAGAGCTCCGGACGTTTCTGATTTAATAACAACTTCCATGTTGTTTCCAGTCATGTTCTCATACTCTTGGAACACGCGTTTTAGATGTATATAAGATCTTTGAACGAGAATCGAATTGAAAGTTGATTCTTCAGTTCCCCACTGCCCTTCGCCTGTTCAAAACATGAATTAATACAATTTTCCTTTCATTATAAATATAATATTTACCTGCATCAACCAGGGCCTGGGCATCGGCAACGACTGTATCATGATCAACATCTGTCGATTCATCTCGGTTAGCCTTTAATAATTTTTGAATTATTAAACAGTTTTTACAACTAAATTTTTAACTCGTGTTTATACATACTGTACACAATGAGACCAGTAGTTTTTTAAAGTTTCCTGAAGTGTCTGATTTGATGTCGTCTTCCATTTCATTATCAAACACTAAAATATGCAATAAATAAAATAAAATTGATTCTTTAATATATATTTTTTTAAACTCATAATTGTACATACTTTCTTTGTAAGCAGAGGAAATAGCACGGATGCCGTAGTTACTTAAAGTTGTTAAAACTTCAACAAGGGCTTCTTCATCAGTCCCCAGACCTGAAATAAACAAAATTATAGTTCAATACATTTGGAATTTCTTGAAAATGAATTGAACTACGGCTTTTTATTGTTAAATAATTGTTTGCCCTCCAGAAAAGTCAATCTTTAAGAATTCATTTTCAATATTTGTAAACAATTAAAAATATATAAAAAAACAACAAATAATATGCAATTTTTAAAATAAAACAACATTAACGTAACCCTTTTAAGAATAATTTATGACGAAATTATATTGAGAAAAGAACAGCTTTTAACTTTAAACAAGATTTTACGTTACATTGTGAATTTCATGTTTAGATGTAATTATTTTTGAATGAAGGTCAATGAATAAGTCCCTCAAGAATAAATTAAATCATAATTACATAATTGTTAGACATACAACTGGCAAGAATTATTGTTTTGCAAATGAGCGCATATTTATTTAGAATTGAGAAACCAATGTTTAACGTAAAAATTAAAATAAAATATTTTGTAATTATAACATTTACCTTTGATAGCAGAATTAACTTCATTGGCGTAGAAATTAGGCAAAGCAGTCATCAGAGCGACAATAGCATCTTCAAAATGACCACCAAGCTCGCTTTTCAGTTGTGATATCAGATCCTAAAATAATGATGAAATTGTATATAGCAACCAATGTGGGACTACAGCAACAGCATAGATTTATTTAAAAAACTACCTTTCCGTAAAGAGTTTTGTATTGTTCCACAATATCCAAACGCTGTTCTATTGAACGGTGTGCCAAAATATCGATAATTGCCTGTTCATCAGTGCCAAACCCCTTCATGGCGGCTTTGAGAGCTTCGCAATCAGCATTGGCATCGAAGTTGTCGGCAGGTTGGACTGTAGCCCTTGACTATTGAAAGAAAGCAAAATATAACATGCAAAACATAATAATAACATAATATAATATGTTTGTAAATATTGCAGAACTAATAAAATGATGTGTAAATTATTTTAATATGGAAATTATTTACCTCAACATCATAATCATCCTTTTTAGACGCATGTAAAAATTTATTTATTTTTAACATACAAAAAAAAAAAAGCTAACAACTAAATTTGGTTGTATCTTATCTGCATTGCATTTTGTACTGTATTTAAATAGTAGTGAAATTTTGTGAAGAGATTTAATAAGCAACACAAAATAATAATAATTTTTTTTGCTGTTCTAAAAGGTTTTGAACTTCTGACAGTGCTGATCATACAGGATTTTCAGAATTTGCTTTTGTCAAGTGATAAGGGTCTGACCGAATCTTACAATTTGGCCTAAATAACTATAATATGAATTAATTAAGGTTTTTAGTTGAGATAAAAAAGTCAATGACACGAGCGGGATTCGAACCCACGATCTTCGGCTAGATACGCCGCTGCTCTACCACTTGAGCTATCGTGACTTCGATCCACTCAGGCACTAACTTTCCATCTCAACCCCACCTTTTGAATTTTCCCTCCTTTTTGCCATTTTTCAGAGCAGCGGTGTATCTAGCCGAAGATCGTGGGTTTGAATCCCGCTAATGCCACTGACTTTTTTTATCTCAACTAAAAACCTTAATTAATTGTAATATATTAATTGATCAAGCGGACCACGAAATCAGTGAATATAATATGAATATTGTATCATTTTTACAAATAATCCAGTTCATTTCATCCGAGCTTTTAAACAGTGAAATTTTCTGTTCAATTTTCAAGAATGTGGACTGTAGAAATTATGGTTTTCGGTTTAAAATTTATTAATACAACGATGAACCATCATTTATCCATAAATTTGATTAAAATAAAGAAAAAAAAATCTTCAGCAGAGCAATGTTACCACCACAGTTGTGTTGCTTTGCAGAATCAGTCAACACTTTTCTTTTTCCATTGTTTACCTCTATTCCTGCTTCCTTTTTGGTGCGTTGCAATTTATTTCTTTTCAGATCCTTGCTTTGACCACTTTTGTGCTAAAAAATTTCACTGATATTGTATGCAGAATGGTTCAGCCCTGCCAATTCTTTAATTTCCTTCAAATCCTGGGGCCCAGTGGAGGAAACACAGGCTAGCTTGTGACATTTGAGTCATGTATGTGTTGATCACATTTTGGTTATCTGTCACGATAGCTCTATTTACTTTGTATCTGTTCAGATTGTTTTAAAGAAACTAGATGTCCATTGTCTCTGAGTATTTGAGTATGGGGCTGAAGTCACGAAGCCAAACCTTGCTCTATCTTCTTGTGTTCTAGATCAGTCAGTGTACATTCCTCAAGGGAAGATGTTTTCCTCCTTTTCTAGACTTTTTAACTATGCTTGTAGGTTATTTATTTGAATTTGAATACATATCACATTCATGGGGGGGGGGGAAGTAAATCCCACAGAGATTCTATACTAGTAGTAATTTCAATTTGTAGTTTGTTTCTGACACTTTGGTCTGTCAGAAGCATTTCAAAATATTGCTATCTACAATGAAGGGTTTGTGGGTTTTCACCATCACAGATTCACTTTCTTAGCCTGTACGTTTTATCATTTGCTTGTCCTTCCTAAAGATTTGAGATAATTATATTTTAAGGAGACAAGAGTGTGATAAACTTATTACTGGAGATGACAAAAAGCCAAAATGATAAACCAAAATGATTGGAAATATGCAAAGGTTCACAAGGTTCACCACCTCAAAGCTGACATGGAAAAAGTTCCAAAGTAATCTTATTTTGTTGTTTACATCAAACCAAATTTTAGTTAAAACTATTTGTGGTCTAGATTGTCAAGTTTTGCACAGCTAGCAAAGGATTAATCTCAAATTTTATGTGATGATGGTGATGACTGATGAGAATACTAAGGAGTAGGAAATTGGTATTCTCCAAGCACTGCAGCCTTCTGGCTTATTGTACTTTTCTGATTTTTTCAGTTAGTTCACTTGATTTCATCCTTCTTTTAAGAAGTAAAAGTTCAATGACTGTGATTGCTGAAATCGCTTTTCTGGGTCATCTTGTTACTGTAGGTTATGTCTCATTTTCTCCTCATATTTAACCAAACAAAGGGGTTATCTCAGTATACCCAGTATGCAGGTGTTTTCGTAGATGTCAGTGACTGCTAAGGAGCCCTATCTCTCTCCTGAGTTTTACCCTAACTTTAGCAATATGTTAGCTAGTTTTAGAAAGGGTTCTTAACCATGTGTTTACTATGTCTAGAACCTCTAGAGTTCGTTCATTTTTCCTTTCGAATTGTGTGGACCCATTCTGAGATGGAATCTATGTTTATTCTTGTCTATGACATGTTCAATTTTGAAGTTTTTCACACTGTGCCATTGATTTGAATAGTCTACATATAGGCACAGTTATTTTCACATTGTTTGACCAATGACCACTCTTTGAAAATCGAACCCTAACCATATCTAGTAATAATTATTTTTTTCTCCCCTTCTTAGCAATAAACTCCAGTTATATACTCGGCGCATATAATTTATATATATAAACTCCAGTTATATGTCAACTTTTCCCTTGGAGAAATATTTGTAAAGGTGTGTAATCCACTTTACAAAACAGATGCTTAGATTTTGGCGATAGGTTTCTGAATTTTGCGTCATTTAACGTTCAAGACGTGGAGACAATCGTTTCACTGTTTTCCCGATATATTTTTAAATACATTGCAAGGTCGAATACACCACGCAATCGTCTCCAAAATAGTTTAAACCAAAGGTGAAGGAGGTTCACTTCTGCCCTTTCCAACAGAACCAGAAAGTTTGAGAACGTTTTTAACACGATTCTTTCTTAATAATAATGTTTATTCATTTATAAATGTAAATAAAACATTTGCTTTATAATGGTCGCAAATAAATACAGTATTTTTACCAGCCTACATTGTACAAACCATCGAACTACACATATATTGTGCACCAAAATTATAGTAAAATTTACAATCAGCTATATTAGAAAGTTTAGAAAGTACTTTAAAGTAACAGTGGTTAGCAAAATGCTTACAACTTGTAAAATAATTTATCTTGATCGTGTAAATTGGTCTGCCTATTCTCGATGTTTTTGGTCTGTTAGATGTGTTTCTTCAGTATTGGATTTTCTTTATGCTCTTTGAAAGACATGAACAAAATAAAACTTAGCATCATTGCGTCATTTACCGATTTTCTTAAATGCAAAGATTTCAAGTGAAAAATTTAATTAAACACTATAAAGTTTGGAAAGTACTTCGTCGCATGCTCGCTTTTGTCATGCAACAGTACAAAACCGTCTCATCCATCTCATCATTTCCGATGTATATTTCTGCCCGACTTATGAAGCCTCGGTCAGCAAATGCGCCAGACTTGGGGCCGGTCGACTTATTTTGATATTTTGCGTTATGGCCGCGAAGTCAATGGCTGAGAATTGACATTTCGTGATGGCCTCTTTCGTGCTTAGTCGCTCCGGCGTCCCCTCGCCGATTGTTAGTAACAGTTGAACGTATCGATTGGCGAGGCGTTACCGATCTCAAACCGTGTCAAGGATATTTTTAGTACTATGAAGACGACGAGGCGGCGAACGATTCTCACGTCGCAGACGATAACTTGACTACCTCACATTCCAAAGAAAACCCAGTTCAAACCCATAACGGCACGGAGTCCCGAGCAATTACTTCAATAAAAAGTTTTTCGAAATGACTAACCAATTTTCTATTCTAATTATGGTTTTAAGTGTTATGCTATCTGCTACAATAGGAATTTGAGGATATGCTTATTCGACCATCTCAGAGAGTTGATCCTACTATAGAACAGGCCATGAGTTTGCCCGTCTATTATCAGTGTTGTAGTCTTTTTCGGCTTTGAGTTCAGCTTCAGTGCTGGGTCATTGGGTTCTTCAGTCATCTTCTACAAAGCCGCAGCAAGAAATCTCAAAATATAACGAGAAATATGGAAAGGGCGTATTAGCGAAACAACGAGGACAGACGGACCAATAATCGGAAAATATCAAACTACAATTCAAAAAACTAAATCTCACAAGAACTTGAGTTAAACAAAGAAAAATCCTGCTAAGCTAAACAAAAAATCAGATGTAAGTTTTCTTGTGTATCTTCCCAGAACAAGTTAAATACTCAAATATAATAACGAAAAGTGTGGTGTTTAGTGACCGTTAGCCAATGATTATTTGGAGATCGTGAGGTGCGGTCTGTGTTACGTAGGTTTTAGAAAAACATTTTCTTTAACGTGCCAACGTTTCAATCTTTATTGAAATCATCTTCAGGGCTCATAGTGTTTATTTTCCGTGTAGGTATGCCATTCTTGTGTGTCGTGTTGAGAGTGCCAGTGAGCACGCACAAGAATGGCACAATTACGCAGAAAACAAACACTTTGAGCCCTGAAGATGATCTCAATAAAGATCGAAACGTGGCACGTTAAAGAAAATGTTTTTCTAAAACCTACGTCACACCAGACCGCACCTCACGATCTTCAAATAATAATAACGAAAATTAATTTCTAAATATTGACTGTTTGATCAACCTTGAAGAACCGAATAAACTGAGACGCATTTTTACAACAGCAACAAATTTTAATTTAAACTTAGAAATTTGACAATTGCTTTGTCTACATTTTTTAAAATAATTATTTATCCCTTATCAATCTCAATTATTATTATTTTAAAAACAGGACAATGTGTTTTTGTTTGCATATTTAGACACTTGTTTAAAGAATAGGCCTGTGTCGTCCAAACAACCAGAAATGGAAGGCAAAGTACATTTCCTCAAATTGTTCGTGCCGAATTAAATAAAAATGACATCGCGTGTATCGGTTAATCACCACGTTATTAACAAGGCATTATTTATTTTGAAAACGTAAGTTGTGACCTAGATTTGTTTACATTCTGTTTTTCTTGTAAGGGGATCGCCTTGAAAATATTTCCCTGCATTTATCAGTCTTACATTATTCTTAGATTTAACTATTTGAAACATAATAGCTCCTAAGCAAATATTTCCGTTGGTATGTAGGGTTCCAATCTTCGTAGAGGTTACTAGACGGGGAAAAAAATTAAATGCTGGGT